ATGACGGCCGATGGTGTGCGAAGAGGCACAGGAATCCGGCGGCTGAGTTCAGCCGACCGCTGGGACCCAAGCGATTGGGACCTTTTGCGGGGCTTACCGTGGGAGCACTCCGCGGCAAGGCCTGCCGGTGAGCAGTTGATGCTCGAAGAGCGCCTTGTGGTACCACCTCCCAAAGAGGAACGAGTGGCACCACCACAACAGAGGCGAGTATACATCAGGAGAGAGGATGCGCACAAGCATGGAGCCACAGAAGGCTGCCCAGGATGCAGGTGCATCTTGGAAGACAAGAGAACGACCTTGCCGCACACAGAGGCGTGCAGAGCAAGGATCACCGAAGCAATGGAAAAGGATGAAGCTGGGCAAGCGAGACTTGAAGCCCATGCAAAGAAGAGAAAGGAACGGCAACAGCTTGACACTGTGAAGCCGAAAGTCGTGGCCGACAAGGACACCGACATCACGGCCAAAGACGCGGCCGGAGAACCAGAGAAGAAAGAAGGCAAAGAGCGCAGGGTCGGGAAGCCCGCCGCCAACAGCGGCAGAGGGTGAGAAGACCTATCCCGATGACCCGAAAGAGAGATATGAGATGAAGAGGCAAGCAGCTGAGATAGAGAAGAAGCCAGTGGCAAAAGCCAAGGTAGCAACAGAGCCCAAGAAGAGAACAGCAGAGCTTAGGATAGATCCACCTGGGGCAAAGGTCAAGCCGAATCCAGCCCAAGGAACAAAGAGGACGGCAGAGACCGCCGTAGAAGACCTTGATCCCAGAGTGGAAGAGAGTCCAAAGAAAACGTCTCAATTTTCACATGTTCCAGAAACACCACCAGCAGGGTGGAAGCCAGATGCAGCCAGCTTGGTAAAAGAGAAGGAGATCGCAAAGCAGCATCTGAAGAAGATCATTCAAGGAACCTATGAGGCAAATGGCATCGAGATCTCTGAGCAAGAGATCGGAGACATCGCTCATTTGAGCATGCAGATGTCAGCAGTAGATATCATGGAGATCTACTCGCCCAAGAGGTTCACTGCGCTTGCAGAGCGCTACAAGTTGCGACCGGGTTTTGCGGTCGACTTGAATGAGATGAAAAGTGATGGAACATACTGGGACTTGAACAAGCCCGAAGATGTTCAAGAGGTGCACGACATCCTTGAGAAGGACGAACCGGCGCTTTTGACTGGTTCGCCTCCGTGCCATATGTTCTCACAGCTCCAGAACCTCAACTGGAGGAGCATGGCACCGGATGTCCGGAGGAGGAAAATGGACGAAGCCGTCCACCATCTTCATACGAGCGTAGAGCTGTATGCCAAGCAGCATCGCTCAGGGAGAAAATTCCTCCATGAGGCACCTTGGTCCGCAACTAGTTGGAAGGATGAGAAAGTTGCGGCCTTAGCAAAGGAAGATGGAGTGTTCATAGTGAAGGGTCCAATGTGCAGGTGGCAGATGATGGCCACCGACCGAAGAGGACTCCAAGGCACCGGCTATGTGAGAAAGGAGACCGGTTGGATGACCAACGATGAAGGGTTGGCCCGAGTCTTGCAAGGAGTCTGCTCGAATGAATCGGGCAAAGGACCATGGCACCGACACATCCATCTGATCGGAGGCATCGCTAGGCAGGCAGCGGTATACCCACCGCAGCTCGTGAAAGCAGTGCTGAGGAACCTGCGTGACACGCTAGCAGAGAAAGGTGAGTTGAACACCTTCGATCTGTTTGCAGCAGGCCCAGTTCCAGAGATGCCTCTGATGGACCCTGAGTTCGAAGAAGTCTACATGGATGATGTGAACGGCGGCATTTTGCCAGCCGAGAAAGTGAAGGAGGCAAGACGCCTTGAGATGGATTATTTGAAAGAAAAACATGGTGTTTATGTGCCCCGGCCGAGAGCCGAATGTTTTGAGGAAACGGGGAAGCCCCCGATTCCAGTCAGATGGTTGGACACCAACAAGGGAGATCCAACAAACCCAAACTATAGGAGCCGATTAGTTGTGCGTGAGATAAAGGCAAGAAAGACCAAAGAAGAACAATTGCCAGCCAACTTGCTTTTCAGCAGCACGCCCCCATTGGAGGCGATGAGACTGCTGTGCTCGTTGTGGGCAACAAAGAGAAAGTCCTGCCACAACCAGCCTCTGAAGCTGGGCTTGTGGGACATCTCACGAGCACACTTTTATGGAACTCCGAAGAGAAAGATCTACATAGAGCTGCCGCCTGAGGACGAAGCCAGCAAAGATGGACAAACCTGTGGACTTCTCGTGAAGTCGATGTATGGAACACAGGACGCTCCAAACATCTGGCAGACGCACTACACAGAGACTCTGCAGAAGGCTGGTTTCCGCAGAGGCTTGTCAAATGCGTCAGTCTTCTACCAAGAAGCTTGGGACGTCAGAGTGATGGTGCATGGAGATGACTTCCTAGCACTGGGAGACGCCCAACACTTGGAGAAGCTCAGCCAAGTCCTCAAAGATGCCTATGAGCTGAAATGTCTCGGAATTCTTGGAGACGAGGATGGAGACCGAACAGAAGCTCATTTTCTGAATCGGTTAATCCGAGTCGAAAAGAAGAACGGCAAAGGATCAATTGTGATCGAAGCCGATCGGAGACATGTTGATCTTTTGATCCAGGCATTCGGTCTGGAGAAGGCAAATGGTGTAGAATCACCAGATGTCAAGAAGTCGGCAGATCAGCAGATGCTGGAAAGCCGCAGTCCGCTGCTTGATAAGAGCGAGGCATCAAAGTATCGTTCAGCAACGATGCGTGCTGCGTACTTGTCCCAAGATCGACTTGATATTGGGCACGCAGTCAAGAACCTTGCTCGAGGTATGGTATCACCAACAGAAGCCAAACTTGCTGACTTGAAGCGTCTCATCAGGTACTTGAAGAAATATCCTGATGTTGGGCAATGTTTTGGCTCGCAACAGACACCCTCAAGGCTAAGGGTGCAAGTCGATGCCGACCATGGTGGTGACGCTGTGACGCGCAAAAGCACGACTGGCATGGTTGCTATGTACGGCATGCACGTGTTGAAACACAGCAGTAACATCCAATCCACTGTAGCCCTTTCTACAGGTGAGAGTGAGTACTACGCACTTGTGAAGGGAGGATCTGTGGGCTTAGGCCTCCAAAGCCTATGCGCAGACCTTGGTTTGAATCTAGGAGTCACCATCGAGGGCGATTCCAATGCAGCCAAAGGAACTGTGAACCGAGTGGGTTTGGGTAAAGCCAGACACATCCAAACTCGCTACCTATGGTTGCAAGAAAGGGTCGCCGAAGGCCACTTGAAAGTGCACCACGTTCCAGGTGTCAAGAACAAAGCCGATGTGTTGACCAAATCGGTTCCTGGGGTGCAGCTTCGCAAAACCATGGAGGACCTGCAATATGCATTCCTCAGCAGGCGAAGCAAAGGACAGTTAGATGTTTTGGAGTAAGGTCCCTGGCCAAGCTCCACTACCACAACTGGAAGTGGCTAAGCAGCGAAGAGTTTCACATGTTTCCTTTTAAGCTTGCGCAGCTGTACAGTGCTTTGCAAGAGGAGGAGTGTTTGTATGTACAGCCCATATATACTCCGCTAGGGTACTGCAGACACGTGACTCTTGACGTGTTTTGGCTCAAGGGAGAAAAGGCGTTCCGAAACGTCGAAACTCTGATTTCACTTGCTTCGAAGCCACGCAGTCCATGCAGTCCATGCGGTCCAGCGCCGCTCGGCTTTGCTCCGCTCCAAGGATGCGCTTGGGGATTTGGTGGTTGGAGAGCGCCATGCGGGGCGGCGTGCCGGTGCTGCCGCTGGTGAACCAGGCACCCAGCTTTGAGGAATGAGGAGCGAGCGAGCCTCTGGCGGGGTTGAGCTGACCGGTGAGAGGCATTGTTCGGAATGGCCCTGAGCTGGGTGGCCTAAGAGGACTGTACCGTAGGAGGAAGACTGAATCATTTCAGGAATTTGTTGACTCTGGTTGATTCAGCAGATTAGATTGTCAAAGAGCAACATGACCATCAGTGACGAGAAACACTTCAGGTTTTGTCAACAGCTTGAGAGGCATGGAAAGCACTAGACGGCTCAGCACCAGATCAAAGCTTCTCACAGAGAACCTGAACGAACACTGGCCAAAGGATACTAAACTTGCCAGTGAAATCAGAAGCCTTTGTGTTCAAAGCTCTCCTCTGAAGACGAGCTGTACAGTGAGCTTTGTTCATGTCGTGACTCGTGGTCCTGGCGCACTGTGGACGAAAGAGCTGCGGAGTTCACCCATCTCAAAGTCTCAACATCAGTGGGTGTTTTGCTAGTGGCAACGAGGTTTTAGGTCTTCGAAGAGCCATCAAATGGCTCATGTTTGGTAGGGTACGCTTCGGTATGATCATGCAAACCCCCATTTAAAACACCTAAGGTTCCAAAATTTTTGCTCCCGAACCCACCAGGCTTCGATGAATCTTCTCACCTCCCAGAGGTTAATGTTTTTTTTGCTCCAACAGCGAACGGCCTCCGCATAAAAAAGAAACCACCCATCACATGGAATTGCATGGTATTGGACCCTAGCATAGAACACCACCTTTCCACAATTCCCGATGGTGGGTTTTTCCACTTGAGTCACCACGACGACCAAAACACCACCCTGTTTGGATGGTGCCTTCTTTTCCACGTACCGTGTCGCGGCGTGTCGCTCAGCTTGCGCCCGAGCGAGAGAGCCTGGTCGGATGACACCTCGACCGAGACGGTAGCACTTAACATCACACACTGTGTGAATCTCGAAGGAACTGCAACATTCGATGAGAACCACTGGCAAGCTTGCGGCAAGCAGTGATTGAGGACTTAGATCCATTTCGCTCCGAGATTCCATTCTTTCTTACGCGACATTCCAGTATCCTTTCCGGTGAAACCATTTTTAAGGATACTGGTAAAGTCAAGTATTACCTGCTGTGGCCTGTTGGAAGCGGGAGAGGGTTCAAGTTTGGGTAATGTCGCACCCCTTTCTGTGGTCATGTATGTCCTGCTCATCTAGTTTGGCACAAGCTATCCGGACTAAGGCCTGCGCCCCTGCTGGACAACCCCAGCGTGGCATTGTGACTTGGATCAAGCTTCTATGAAACAAAGGCGACTCCTACCCTCTGTAGGTTCAGAGCAGCTGGAACAGCGGGAACGACCGTAGGACCGTACAGGACCGTACCGTCTTTTGAATCCAGTTGATAGTATAGATAGTAGATGCACTCTCCTGACCATGTTCCGAATCTCACCCATGGTGTTCTGAACCTCTTGTCACTCTGGTCACCTCAACTTCAGAAGCTGCTGCCAAGCTTCCCTCCGAACTAGCCCACCATAGGACTCCTAGAACCCATAGAACCCGTGACTGTGGTCGAAGACCTTCGAAGACCAAACCACTCCACTCGGTGACATGGAGTTCCAAATGAGTTTTGGATACATGGAACTCCATGCTTTTTAGTAAGCAGTCAGTGGTGCTGGTGCACTTTCACCAACCGTTTTTGGAATTCGAGCCACACTGGTGTTTGGATGAGATGAGTATCACAGCATTGAGGTTTTGTGGTTTCGCGCGGTCTCAGATGTAGTTTCATTGTTTTTTTGTTAATATCATGAAGTAGATCGGAACACTTCAAACATATGGCGAGCCTCAGGCTCACTTGAGACCCCCAGGCCAACAAGGGCAAACCTGAGGTGGCATGCCCCCCCCTTTTCCACGAGTCGTGGGGCGTGGGGGCTTAAGTTGAGCTGGGTGGCTGGCTTGAACTCGGACAGGTGCGTCATTTCAATGTTCCTGGACTTCTTCCTCTTCTTCGTCAGTTCCTTGGGAGAGACTCGGTTGGCAGGGACTGGACTGGGACGTCAGATCCGGCCGGATGGGTGAACGGGCAAGAACGGGCAACCAGGTCATACCAGGCGGACAAGGACACGGGGTGAAGTCTGTCAAAAAGGGTTCGGGCGGACAGGTGGCAAGGACATGTTCCAATAGATCATCGACTTCAGCATGGAGTCTCAATTGAGGCGGAATTGTCCTCTGACGGTTTGGTCCTCTTCGTGCACAACGCTGATTCGTCTTGGTGGGAGATCCGGCAGCCGTCTTTTCCAGGTCCTTCCCCGGAGGCGACAAGAAAGGACCCAACCCGTTCTGTGAGGGTTTTGGAACCTTCAACATGTAGCAGTTGCTTCGGGTGGGCGACCTGGGTCCAGGGCCGGGTCGCCCCTGGGTGCTATTTCCTTCTTTGTGGGGGACGCCGACGCGGACGCCGCTGCGACGGAATGGTCCGTCCGACTTGCGGCCTGGTTCCGGTTCGGTCCGGCCGCGGGGGGCGTCGGTGTTCGGTCCTGCGCTCGCGACCGCAGGTGATCTTCGCCAGCCTGTTGCAGCAAACCTGTGAGACTTGGACGACCATTTGGGGTGACGACCCTTGGGCCCGTTTGGGCCGGTGTTGGTGCTCCTTCCGGTCCTTCCGCAATAGTTTTTTTTGGTTGGAAAGCAGCGGCTTAGTGAGCAGTGGTGGATTTTTGGTTCGTTTAGGGTTGGTTGGATTGTCATAGTTAGAGCACAGGATGTCACCTGTTACATGAGTCACATGTCATATTATTTCTAGACAGAAAGCAGGTTCTGCTATGGAAGAAACAGGAAGACAGCCCACCCCCCGTGGCATACCAAAAACACCACAACTGCGGTATAGTCCACTAGTGGATACTAGCTTTTGAGGCTTGCTTTTTTCGGATTTCTTCCTTCAACTCTACATGCTGATTCTTCAGTCGGTGGGTTTGCATGTCGGGGCCGATGTCCAGTGGTGACTGAGTGGAGACGGGGAGACCTAAAGACCAAAAGAATCCACTGGGGTGAAGTTGGTGAAGTTCGACGTTGCCGATCAGATGGCTGTGGATGGCACCAGGAGACCGAAAAAGGGCACGAGCTACCTGGGAGCTTCAGGTTTGGACCCATCCCCATATCATCATGCAGCACGATGTATACAAAGCACTTGATGAAGCACCGAAGCAGTAGGACCTTGAGCAGGTCCATTCTTTCTTCGGGTGGGAGACCTCGTTGTTGTTCCTTTGTTGGCACCTGGTACATCCATCATGTAGAATCTTGATGAATCATTTTGGATTGTATATACTCTTCATATGGAGGGGGTTCTATGATGTTGTTTTATGATGTTAAGAGTTTATGATGTTAAGAGTCTAGATGTGCCACCCTACCATTCGGGCTTTGGACGGGTGTTACTTTGTCTGTCTCTCTCTCTCTCTCTCGTGACCTTTTTCGGCCAACTCGACGTCCCAAGGAGATCCCCCTCTGGTGGTTCCTGGCCTTTGTAGGTTCGGCGGCCTGGCCACGCGTCGGGGCGACGTGGGGAAGAACCACCGTTTTCGAGCGAAGCGACACAACGGACGGTTTGGGTTGGAGACAGCTTTACTGGTTGGCAGAGCAGGTATGTCAAAGGAAAGGACATTTGAGTGGTCAGGTTGATCCACTTAGTAAGATCCCATGGGAAATCTAGCCATACCTGCAGGGGGATCACTCATTGCGATTCGTAACGCGCATGCCTCAGGTGTGGTCGCCTCTGTGAGTGCTGTCCTTTACGCACGCATGTCGTGGATGGAATATGGCAGCGACAGGAGCTTCTCCACGTTGGCCAAGCGCGAACACACGAGGTGAGATACGCAGGTGCGTGGTGAGCGTATGCAGGCCATGAGATCGATGGGTAGAGAGTACATCCGGGCTTTGTCACTGGTTTGAAGGAACAGGATCGGTCCTGGCCCATGCAAAGAGCGTGGCTACCAGCACTGTCCTTTTCCCTCCCAGATGTGTTTCTCAATCTGAAATTGACATGAAATCGCCCGAAACGAATCGGACGAATCAGACGACCTTGGCGAGGATTTGGATGCTATACGGCTTCCTGACCTTTGCCACTCAGATCTTGACCTCGCGCGTGGTCTCTTTAGCCGACGCGGAATGAGGGACGAGACCCAGCGATGGGGGTGTGCTTGGAAATGCCGAAAAGGTCATACCAATGTATACAGATGTATACAGTTATTCTTATTCCATATAATATAATATAATATATAGTAGATCTTGCAATAGTGCATCATATCAACCCTGGAGAACGAGTGTCGAGCATCCTCTCCAACTCGTCCTTGTAATTTTAAGTGAGCGTCGGACAGTCCCGTGCTGTTCGGGGCCCTCTTCATGGCCGGGAGGGGCATCCTGAGTCATCAGATGTCACAACTCGTTGAATAACTCCTGCAGCTGAGATGGGATAGGAGACCTTGCTAGGGCCAAAAAAAAAGTGGAGAGGTCCGAATCGGAACTGGACAGATTCTGGAGGGCAGCAAGAAGTAAGAACAGAGAGTTGGAACAGAATGAAAAGCCTCGAATCCAGAAGCCTTCCAGAACAAATCAAGGCAGGCCTTTGATCGTTGGAACCCATTTCATTTTTTGGGGTTATTGGAGCCCCACCATCTCCAGTGATCTCCATCCAGGCAGTCTTCCTCCTGCAGGGTGGGACGATGGTTTGGGGCGGCTACCTTTGCTGGTTGGCCATGCTCTCAGTGTGAGTTCCACAGCCAGTTGGCCCTGGAAGCTGAGTAGGATAAGTATGGATAAGTATGGACGAACTATGAGGCACAGAAGAACTCTTCTGGGCCATCTAAAGAGACCCCCCCGCGAAGACGCCATTCATAGTCACACCGGATTCACACACACAAATGCTCCTGGGTGGATCCCTTCTGCTTCCTTCTTGGATTCCTCAGGACGGGGAACTCCTAGATTTGGAACTGCCTAAAGAGGCCTTGAGAAACATTCGTTTGACAAGTGCTGGTCAGTTGGTTCAACTTGTTGCATGAGGAAGATGGCAGGAACTGGAAGTCTTACATGAGTGGATGTGATGGATATCTCCAAAAGTTTTTCCAAGCTTAGGGCCGCCCTGGGTGTTCCCCAGAGCTTCGCCACAGCTCCCACTGCAGTAGAATCCTATATAATCCTATATAAATGGCTTGGTTTGCTCTGGACACCCATCGAAGAATCCGAACCGATCAGTGACATGTCTGTAATGACACCAGCTGGTTGTCCGAATTCAAACGGAGGGAACATCGTGATCCCACAAGTTTTCCATCTATCATTCCCTCATTGCCTGCAGTCCGAACTTGAAAGTGAGATGGACAGCATCTATCTTCAAACTTTACAATTTTCTATCACGTGGAGAAGTGGCTCAGTGGCAGCCCTCAGGCGATGCAGAGCACGGAGTGCGCAGCTGCTAGGGCCCCAGGAAGATTGGCTCAGATATAGATGCCTCTGCATGGCGGTGCCTTGGGTCTTTGACAAGGATGTTTCACCATGCTTCACCTGTGGGGGACACGATTTCTTCGTGGAGTGTCAAGACGGATCTCCCCTGCACGCCAATCTACCCAGCTTTCGCCAGACACCGAACGGACAGACTTCAGAGGGCTAACGTTTGACCTGAGGCGTTTCAGAACCCCACGGACTACCCAACGGACTCGAACCCGGACCCGACTCGGCCAGGATGTGCTGAACTTCACCTTGGTCTGCACCGTGTGGCCGGCGTCGCTTGAAGCCGTTGAGACGGTCTGAAGCATCGAAGCAGGTCGTCGGGGTGGACTGAGAAACCACTCGGTCGGGCCGGTTGAGCCGAAGGCCGGACCTGCGCGGGGTGGACACCAGCATCGATCGCTTCATATAGCTTCATATGGCTGCTATAGAGGCTAGAGAAGGACCTGCCATGACCTGAAGATCATGTAGGCTCTGAGTTCTGGACAAAAAACATGAGATCTGAAAAGAGGAATCCACAGACCTGTTTATGAAGAGCATGATTTTCTTTTGAGTTTTCAACCCCCCAAAACCTGCATCTTGAAAGGAACTAGTATTGAGGTTGAATATCTAGGACCTATGCGTTTGCGTGAACTTGCCAGGGGCTCCTGGCCATCATCGAGTTCATCGGCTTCATTTCGGCCGCTTTTGCTTGACGCGGCAGCGGGCGTGACCAGGGCGGTCTGGTTTTAACGGGGGATTTAACTTTAGGGGTCTTGTTTGGGAGTCGAGCCACAAAGTATCCAATATCAAAAAGCTTAGCACTCCTGAAGGTGATGTGATATACTCCATCTGCGCTCCAAGTCAGTATATAACTCCTCAGTCGACCTACCAGTTGGGTTTTGTCGTCCACCAGCGTCCCACCACACCAAGCCCTTCGTCAGCAAGCTGAACCATGCCGATCGATTGAGGGTTTGGCAGGGGACAGGGTTTCCAGTGTATCGACATGGAGGATGTGAAGACACGACCGGAGAACGGACCTTTGGGACTGACGTGAGTTCAGTGCAGGTAATGCAGGTATCCATCCCACATCATCCCACTGTTTCGCGAGTTTAAAAGAGCCCAAAGAAAGGATCCGGAACACGAAAAGCCACATCCCCCCAAAGATGTGGTTTCCTCCCTGCAGCCAGCTTCAAGACAGAATACACCAGGAGTTGCAATTCTTCTCCCTGCAAACTTCTTTCTGCTCCAGCTGGATGTCCACATACATCTCCGCGTTCTTTCCAAGGTCTACTTCGTCTTCATCCCCTCCTTCATGATCCAGCTCCGTGCTGCTGCGAAGTTCACCTAGCCAGCTGCCACGTCCACCCACCCGGACAGCCTTTCCGGTCCCCCTGCGCTGCGTTCGATCTCGGCCACCACCGGACCCCGGGCGCCCCGGACGACCGGACTCCGGTCCGGTGATGGTGCCGGTGGTGAAGACGGACGGCCATGCGCTGGTGAGTGATGGGTGATTGGATGGAAAACGATGGAGCTTTTTTTTTTTCTTTTGGAGGCATTGCCCTTAACAGCTATCAATGTCTGCTGGTCTGGCAACTTGTATGTTCTTTTTTTAATTGAGAAGTGGCCGAACATAGGATGCTATATGTCACCATTCTGAGCAGTGCTTGAGCAATTTCATCTGCCGGTGGTGTCCCTCAGCTTGCCATGATGTGCCTCACTTCTGATGGGGTAGCTCAATGTCAGATGTGAGGCTTGCTGCTCTCTGTGGCTCTCCACAGGCTAGTAGTTGTAGTTAGTATATACGCGGAGACAACAGCACTCAGCAACATGAGATCGTCAAGGGCAGCCCACCTAACTTGTTCCGAATCAGTTTGACAGCGAGGCCGCCGGGCCGAGACACAGACAGATCTTCGGTGCTTCTTCAATCCGATTCAGTTGATGAGTAGAGTTGGAGCAGTTGAAAGCCGCATTCTCTTTCGCTTTCATGGAACAACCCACGGGGATCCCTTCCCTGATTGGATCACATGGAGCTAAATCCTTCTGTGACAGGATGGGACGTCCAGACGCGGAACGTTGCAGCCGATAGCTGGAACGAAGGTTGTGGGGTTTCCAGCTAGAGTTCAGCCCCCAGCAGGGGTAGAAGGTCCAAGGAAACCAGCTCACCACTGTAGCTGCTCCCTCAGAGCCTGGCACTTTTTTGGTCGAATCCCGGAATATGCTCTTACAAGAATCTGGACGGCCAGTTCCCATGGTTTTCCGTTTACAAAACAGCCTCGAAAGCACCAACTCTTCACCACTTAGCCGTCTGATTTCTGAGCTTCCCGCTTCACCGAAGCTCCGCCTCTCTGAACGCTCCGGCGTTGGCCGCGTTTTGGGACGTCGTTCTCGCCATGGCGCTCAGCACGTTGGGGATGCCGCAGGCGAGTGGAAAGGGCGGTTGGGGAGCGAGACTTGGGGCGGTGTTTGGTGCGAGATCGGCTGTTGGGCATCCAAGTAACATGTTTATCGCAGCCACAACGAGAAATGGAAGATTCCACCAGATGTTCAGGACCAGAAGGTTCCCTGTTTGGGGCGATTTGGTGCGTTCACCCAGCCTTTGCCCCATCTCTTAAGGAGGTTGGATCAAAGGAATCTCAATGGCCGGAAGAGGCCGCAGGTTTGCCTTCAGACTGTATGGCTTCCGGAGTGTCCTTTTGTCAGGGTTGGTTTATGTGACTCTCAGTGAGTCTTGTGTCAGCAGCATTCATAGAATTTGGACCTGCTGCGGTGGATGTCATAATTACGCAAATATGACCTACATGTAGCACCAAACACCACCAAATGCAGTCCATCTTTTGCTTACTGTAGATTAATGATTTAGATGGATCGTCTGGGATGGTGAATTACCTGACGAGCTCGTTCGGTGATCTTCAGTGAGCGGGTGGAAGCCCTTCCTGTCCGGTCTCTGCGGTCGAAGTCCAGCACCGAAGTCCACCGCAGCTGAGCGCAGCGAGGCCTTTGGTTCGACGGGGCAGGAGCAGTTGATGGCCATGGACCCTAGCGTGCCGCGAGTGAAGGCGCTGTTGGAGTTGGTAGGGGACGGCGGTTGGACCCTCCATGGTTCCATGGCATGGCGCCATCTTAGAGCGATGGGCCAGAGAGGCCCATCAGAAAACGAGGCTCCAAGACTCAAAGGGGGATGGTTCTTCCAAGCCCATGGAAGGTGGATGATTCTTGTTCTTCTTCCCATGCCAAGGTATGCCAAGCCATCAGCCCTCCAATCCAAAGGATCCGAATGCTTCGGTCCAAGCCACCTCTTGAAACGAGCGAAGTACGGTGGCCACGTCTTCGCTCCGAACCCAGGGACCCGACCCCGACGACCCCGACGACCGAGCTCATTGCTTGCGCGGAGTCGATGGATGGGAAGGGGATTTCGATTGATGGGTGGACCTCCTCAGCTGGTGGAGTCCATGCTGGGAAGGATCTCTCCAGGTCTTTCGAACGGCAGCGAGTCGAGTTCGAGTCGTGGTCGAACGAGGAGTCGCCGCTTCGGCAGACTGCTGCACGACGGCCAGGTGATCTCGCCTGGCTGTGAACTGCGACTCATTGTGGATGACGACAAGCACGCGCGCGTGCCGGTCTTGGGCTTGTGAAGAGTCTCATTGGACACACCCACACCCTGACAGTGTCGACGTACGCGCGCGTTTCGCGTGTCGCGCCGGTCCTCCGGACCGGACGCCCCGTGAAGCGCCCATTCTTTGGGGGGTCTAACCGACGGGGCGCCGAACGGAGAAACCGGCGGCGCTTCCAACCTACCCACCTTCCAACCCGCCTTCCGGTCCACCCACCGCGGTCCGGTGCCCGTTCCGCCAACGGCGCCGGTGCCCGCGAGGTGAAGTTGCTTCCGCAGCAGTTCCCCACCTCTCGTCCGGGGCAACCGGCCCGGACGCTGAGGAGGGACCGGTCGGCCCGGACGGTCCAGGTGAGCGTTGGGGCGTACAGAAGCAATAGAGCTTGAAAGCACTCCCGATTGGTACAGTCAACTCAACTAGCCTCCTATAGCCCTCCTTATGCAAGAGGTGTTTGTCTAAATTAGGCATCGAAAGGGAGTATTTGGTTGTTGAATGTTGTTGACAAGTACCGTAGCATCAACCAGTGTCAGTGGTTCCAGTATACTGAGCCAAGCCTGTAGTCCGGGCCTATTTCCCTACGAAGAGAGATGTAGAGACCGAGCATTTTTTGTGGGGATTCCGACTTTCTCTACCATCCCCACTTCCATCCTTGCTATCCCTGCCCCATCAAAACAAAGCAGTACAAACACTGATTTGCTCTGCCACTTGAGTGTCTCTCATCCAAGCAGCACATATAGCTAGGGACCTTTTATCATAATCTGTTTCCCCCATGTTCACCTTCCCTTGCCAGGTCGATTCCCACCCTTCCTCTCTTCTTCCGAGGCCGAGGCCAGTGCCGAGATCTTCGGTGCTGAGCTGGTGCCTCAGCAGGAGCGCCTCACTTGCCTCGTGACGCGCGTCGTTCCCGGAGGGCGACGAGGAGATGGCCCCCGGTCGGCGCCCAGGTCTGACCTGCCGGTCTGATGGAGCCCACAGGGCTTGGAGAAGCCAATCCGACAGTAACCCTTTGGGTCTGACAGTAAACCTTTGGAGTCGCTGGGTGTCACAAGAACATCACGATGTTTTGGGCCTGGCCTGCAACCAGGCCCCATCATCCACTGGGCCCTGGCAATGGGATTTGCCTAGAACGCATAGGAATACGCTGCAGGTCTCCGAAATGGTGATGGTGACTCTGGTGACCATGTAGAGTCCGGGTGCTGGTATGCATCCAGTGTTTGACGAACTGTTGCCATTTAAAGCAAACTTATTGACAACGTATTCCGAACTTGGAGTTCTCGGGGAGTGCTATTTTCGACGCGACTCTCGGAAGAAGAGCTTTCTGCATCTCCTTAAATTCAGAACCGTTCTTTCTTCCAAAGCGCAGTGTCTTTTTTTGGGAGAACAAGGAAACACTGGCCGAAGACCTTCATCTTCCCAGGGACTGCTTAAGTGTCGATTTTTTTCATCGGCGGATTCCGAGCTGTTACAGCAAGACCCGGAGAGACCGAATGGATCAGTGACACCTTGCTTTGGTGACCAGGTCACTCCACAACGAATCAGTGACTCATGGGACGGAGGTTCCCCAACATTTGCTCCAAAGTAATACACAAACTGGGAAAGAAGGTGAAACTGGCATGACAAAGTGGTGCATGTTCTTTTCGTGACTTACAATGACTCTGCAAATGTCTCTATTGGGGCAACAGTTGTTGCATCCATGAGTCCAAGTCCACTCCATATGATCCACCCACAGCCCACGGCCCACGAATCAAGATTTCGCTGGGAGAGGACTACCCTCTGCTGGGGGGGCACGCGCACAGCGATCTTCTCTTGGCATGGCTGCAAGGTCCAGGCAGGGACCCAAACCGGTGAGTGCTGTTGCCGCGAGCAAGTTTAGAAACAGGAACCCGATCAAGTCCTCACATCAGCAACCCCCACCCCTGCTACTGGTGCTGCTGTTGTAATTGGATCTCTCCCTATGCCAGTGATGTGAACTAGGAATCGATTGGAGGACCAGGGAACGGCCATCAAAGATGTTGGCAGCGTTTGAGATCTACATCTCTTGCTGGAGACGTTCATGATCTGAGATCTGGCTCGAACAGAAGGTCTAGCAAGAAAGACATGCAGGATGCAGGTACTGGCATGTCCAGAAAGTTGTATGTTCACAAGAAGCAGCACGGGTTCAGAGCTCAAACGTCGCCTTTCCAGCATCATTGTTTCTAGCCCGGTCGGCCGACCAGTATCGGCAGCAGCAGTTGCTGCACGAAATCCCTTGTGCCATGTGGCTCATCTTCCTGCTCATTGGGCTTCCAAGGGCGAGCCACGGCTGGTGCCAGTCATACAATGGGAGCTGTGTGGGGCAAGAACACCGACTTGAAGAGCAGGCCAAGTGTAGTAACGTTTAAAGGATTTTAGTTTTTTTCAGTCAATCCGGCTTTCTCCCAACCGACATTCAAAGTTTGGCTCATCCACATTTCATTGAACTGAAACGAACCAGATCTTTTTTTTGCTTCACATCCTCACATCCCCCCCCTGCAGGCCAAGCTCAACCTCCAAGCCGAAGGTTGTACCGTGAGGTTCGCAGACTGGGACACTGATGGCGACCTTGACCTGCTGGTGGGTGAGGGCAACTCCATTTGGTTCCACGAGCGGGCGGCCGGACTTCAGGAGGCCCGACCTTCGTTTCGGAAGCACGAGTTGGTGAGATTCGGAGAGACTCTCTTTGATGCTCCGCAATGGGATGTGCAATCCAAAGGTCGAATCGAAGTGGTCGATTGGGACGGTGACTTGATCTGAATGGACCGTTTTTGCATGTTTTTGTATGTTTTTGCTGGTTCCGGTTACATTCACTTATAAGAAAAGACGTGAGAACCACCAGGAAGGAACATCAGTTTTGGCATTTACCAATTTTCTACCTTCAGAAGAGTCCTTGTAGCAACCCAATGAAAGAACTGCACCTTAAAGTGAGACCTTTAGTCTCTAGTCCTTGGCGCGATTGGCCTTCCAAACCTTGTTCTCGAGATCCCTTGGTGAATCTCCGAGATAGGACGTGCGGCTTTAAAAAGCGGACAGTCGAGTCTTGGCTTTGGGAGTCAGGTTCGGTTCTTCGATTCGATGTTCGACCACTTTTTCAGCTCGAAGCTCGAAAGGTCCTAGATGTTCTTTTTCTGCAGGCATCTGCAGGCAAAAATCTTTGGTCTATTTACCAGGGACCTTGGATGGCACGCTATTTTTGAGCCATAGGTCTACCCATTTTGGATTTTTTGTAGGTTCTTTGTGATCTGCCTGCCAGGGTAGTCTTTGAAGTGATGAACGGTTCACAATCGCGCGCTCAGGTGATCACAAGCTTGACCTCTTACTCTGCACATTGTTGGGAGATGAGGTGACTGTGCGCATTCTAAACCACTCCCTTCTTCTGCCTGGCCACCTGGTTCTGGCGAACGTGTCTGAGCTTCAGGTGCGAAAGTCGAGCAGCTGGTTCTTCTTTTGGGGGACCTATACTAGGTACTTTGTTATACAAGGGGAAAGACATTCAGCCTTTTGAGTCAATGAATGAACTTGAGGTTCCCAAGTTCCCAATATTGGATGACCGGGTTGATGCGCTGGTTGACTCCGCAGAAATGGCCCACGTCGTCCACTGTTTTTGTCTGCTGTAGGTGATTTTGGTGACAAAGGGATCCTCCTGCGAGATGCTGGGAGTGGATTTTGACGAGGATGGAGACGCTGACTTGCTTTTTGCAGATTTTCCAGATGGAAACCAGCGGCATTTCCGCTTCTCAAGGTACTTTGAGCACGTGTCTGGCGAGTTGGTGGAACGCACTGAGGACGAGAATCCCTTGAAGAGATTGGGTGGGGTCCATTGGATTGCTGACGTAGATGGCGATGGACGGCCTGAGATGCTGACCACAGGGTGGCTGGAAAGTGGGGCACATTACAGTAAGACTCGTTTGGGCTGCGTCCGCCGTTCTGGAGATGGTAGTTTGGTCCCAATGCCCGAGAATCCTTTTGCCGGCATTACGATCGCGCAAGGGGAAGGATATCAATTTCGAGTGTTTGTGACGGACTGGAATTCAGATGGTCTTCCAGATTTTCTAGTGCTACATTTCTGGTCTGTTCGAGCGACCTGGGAGGTTGTGAGACACTTTCAACATGTTCTGGACCTGGACATAAAGCGAAATACTCAAATCGACACTTATGAAGACATCCAACTCCAGTACCGTGAGCCCATCGTCGTCGACTGGAATCAGGATGGCTTTGAAGACGTTGTGGTGTTGCGATGGACCTCGGACTTTGGTGGGATACGGGCTAAGCATTTGCATTTGCACGAGTATTTGGGACAAACTGTGAGAGAGGCAGAAGGTTTCTTTGAGAATGTCACAGAGAGTTTGCAGGGACGTAACAAGGGTGTCAGGGCCACAATGGTTGATTGGGACCAAGATGGAGACTTGGATCTCCTTATCTCGTCGGAAGCGGATGGCAAGCTGCATTACCACGAGATGGTTTCTGGTACTTTGCAGAAAGAGCTTCCACATCATCCCTTCAGTGAAATCACAGTAAAGTATTGGAGCCGCGGCAATAGCTTCTACGAAATTCAACCCTTGGTAGTAGACTGGGACCAGGATGGTGACTATGATTTGTTTCTAGGCCCCCCTGATGGCCGCTACTTCGAGCAGCTGACAGACGGTACTCTTCGTGAGTGGCCTGTGGAGCAAAGCCCTGTCTATAGTGTGATGCAGTTGGCAACTGGCTACTCAGATAGGGACATCAGCTGGAAGTTTGTGGATTGTGATGAAGACGGTGACCTTGACCTCCTGCGACTCCGGTCTGAAAGTGCGGATCATCAGCTACAAGCATGTGAGCACGGGCATCTTCATGAACTGCGATGTGACGATGATTTTCAGTGCTTAGGCACCAACCTGAGCCGTTTCCACAACAAGCCAGGAGGCCCCATGGAGGGACTTGGCAAAATCAGTTTCTTCGATGTGGGCAACGTTTCTGATGGTCGCTTGAAACTCCTGGTTTCCCATCAAAACAACAAGGGGGCCGTGTTCTGGAGTGCTGGCTTTTGTGTTCCTGTTGACCCGTGCTACAAGAAGGGTATGTGTTTGCCTCGGCGAACACACTGCAGCTGCATTGCAGGGCGTGAGCTAAGTGATTGCTCAGGCTGTGAAGCCAATTTCTACAGTGTGCAAGTGAAAGAAGGTGAGATGCACGACTGCCAGACATGTCCAGGTGAGGGTGGCTTGGTTTGTTATGGCCGAGGTAAGTGCTTCGATGATGCGACGGCAAAGGCCTTGCCATTGGAGTCCACAGCTGCCTCCATGGTGACGGGCAACGGCTCATGTAGTTGCCACGAGGTCCATTTCTACGGAAGTGATGACGAGGGCCGCAGCACTTGCGGGACGGGGGTTTGCCCGGCAGGCACTCAAGAGGAGGATGGACGGTGTCGCCTTTGTACTGCGGGGTCCTTCTCACCAGAGGGCGGGGTTTGCAAGATTTGCTTTCCAGGAACATTTTCTTTAGCAGGCAGCAGCAAATGTTTAAAGTGCAGTCCAGGAACAGTTTCAAAAGAATCTGGTGCTTCGGCCTGTGATGCATGTCCAGCAGGCACGTACGAAGTTGACAGTCAAGTCTGCAGTGTTTGTCCGTCAGGCACCATCTCAAATGGAGGAAGTGGGACTTGCAGCCAGTGTGAAGCTGGCCGCTTTGCAAGAGATTTCCTGACATGCGAGCTATGCCCTGCTGGAACCTGGTCCAGATCAGGGAGCAGCGAGTGCCAACGCTGTTTGCCTGGGACATTTTCTTTAGGAGGAAGCAGCAACTGTTCGACTTGCTCGCCAGGAACGGTCTCCACAGCATCTGCTGTCGCATGTGATGTTTGTCCAGCAGGGACATACGAAGCCAACCATCAGCTTTGCAGTGTTTGTCCTTTGGGGACGATCTCAACTGGTGGAACTGGAACATGCAGCCAATGCGAAGCTGGTCGTTTTGCCAGATCCTCCCTCACTTGCGAACCTTGTCCAGGCGGAACCTTTGCGGGCGAAGGGAGCAGTGCTTGTCAAACCTGCCCAGTAGATCATGTGTCTAGTCCAAACAGTGCTGCCTGCCAAAGCTGTCGGAGCTTTCTCATTCGAGCTAACCCTGATGCCAAGAAGCAAAGCTGCCAAGTGCGTGCCATGGACATTGTCTTTGCGCTCGTGTGCTGGCTCGTCTCAGCGTGCTTTTACTTCCTTCTCCTCACCGGCTTCTCTGGTCGAATTCCCATTTCGGATGTGTCTGCTCAGGGTCAAAAGCTTGTGGTAACAACCTCCATGGCACACTTTCTCTTGGAACGAGCTTGCCCCGTCGTAACCTTCACGGGAACAGGGGTTCCTGACTTGTCGTCTGCGTCCCACACATGGAAAGTGAAGTCCTTGAGCTTGTATCAATTGACACTTCATGGTGAAAGCACCATGCCACTGGACACATCCACAGGACATCTGCATCTCAAGCTACCACAGGTCTTTCTTTCAGCAGGTCTATGGCGCATTCCGCTCCTCTGGTGGAGCTTGCTTTTTCTGGCAGCTACCGCAGCTACCGCCAGCCAGCTGACTTGGTCTCTTGCCTTGGTGGCATGTGGATTGGGTCTTTGTGTTGGCTCCCTCGCTTTTGCCCTGCGGCGCAGGCAGGGAGGAGGTGTTCAAATCGAGGGCCTCCGAACAGCCTGGCAGGGTCAGATGAAAGATTCGACCTGTTTGGGTGTGACGATGTTTTTCACTTCGATTCTTTCACTGCATCCATTCACCTCCCCGGTTTCGAGGTCTGTCTCGTTCACCGCCTGAAAACCGGCCCTGCCACGCAGCCAGGCAAGGTGAACGCACGCCGCTGGCGACGCGGCGGCGGCAGTTTCTGAAGGAGTGGCCCTTGCCCCTGGCGCGCTGCGACCGAGGACCAGATCGATCGATCACGGCGGGGAAGCTTTCGGACTTCTTGCAGCGCCGAAGCAGCGGTTTTAGGGGGTTTTAGGGTTTAGGGTTCAAAAAGAAGAGGTGGGAGCAAAGGCGAGTGAGGTGAGTGTTTTTCTTCTGTTCCAGCGGGTTTGTTCCTTTTAAAACCCCCTTTTTTTCGGCGGTGAGATGAAACGAAGGGTGTTTTTCTTCACTGAAAAGGCTTCAAAAGGGACTTCACTGCGGTTTCTCAACCACTTTTGCTGGGGCTTCGCCACCACGTGACATGCAAGCCACATTGGGTCATACTTGGCAGGGGGCGGACGATTGAGATGACCTAGCCAAAATATCGGACATTGTTGAATTGTGTGAGGGTGGTTTTGGGTGTTGTGCTCCATTTAAGCCAGACCCAATATCTTCTGTATTTTAGCGTGTGAGTGTGTTTCCAAGGTTCTTCGACAGCTTCATTAAGGAGCGATCCATGTACTATGTTTGCACAAACCTTGTGAAACCGCTGACCGAGCCATACCAGCTCTCCTTTGTGGAGCTTGTGGGTCCGAGCAAGATGCAGTGGTTCGTGAGCCACTACTGGGGCATGCCGCTCCGTCATTTTGGTGATGCCATCCGAAAACACGCCCAGAGTGACCCACAAGACTGGCGCGATTCGGCATACTGGATTTGCACCTTCAGTAACAGCCAGTGGCATGTGAAGGAAGAACTGGGGAATGGCCGCTGGCAGGATTCGTCCTTTTATCTTGCCTTGAGATCTTCAGAATGCAAAGGCACCACCATGATCATTGATGAGTTGGTTTTGCCTCTGCAAAGGATCTGGTGCCTGTTTGAAGTGTACCAGACCATTTTGCTTTCCCAAAGTGGTCACTTCCAAGGCTTGCTGTTGTGCACTTCTACTGGTGTCTTGCAGCAGGGTAAAGCTGGCACGGATGTGGCAGTGGCGGTCGCCCAAACGGTCGCACAGCTCGACACTCGCAGCGCTCAAGCAACAGCTGAAGAAGATCGGCAGATGATTCATTCTCTCATTGAACAAATGCCTGGGGGCTTCGATGCCATGAACACTTTTGTCCGTGACACGATTTCCGGTGCTTTGCAGGCCTCCCATTTGCATTACGAGAGTACCTTGAAACATTTGATGCAGAACTTGACCACGCAGGGTGTCTCCGGTGCTTCCCGCAGTGCCTCCGGCAGTGCCTCCGGCAGTGCCTCCGGCAGTGCCTCTGGTGCTCCTTTGCCGACGCTTCTGACCGCCAAACAGCCAGGGAAGGAGATGAAAGCAGGCACCAATTAGTCTGCTGTGGATCCTTCAGATGTGTGGGAACCGACCATCCATTCATTGTCGCTGGCGCTCTTTTTTATGGATGCGACGCAGTCGCTGGAAGTATGCTTGGAACTGAGCGTCGCGTAGTCTTAGTGCCTTTGTTTCAATAATAGCACAGTCATCCCAAATTCCTGAATGCTTGTGAGCAGAATCATCTACATGTTACTTTACATGTCTTAAGATTTTTTTGAGGTATGGACGTGCCATGTTTGACGAGGGTATGTAACTTTGCTTCCAATTTTCTTTGCACAACGAACCTGTACAGCAAATTGGGCATTCTTTCGGCTAGACCGCTGGTTTGGTCTGTGCAGCCCCGAAGAATTCACGCAGTGACTCAAACTGCTGAAGGCAGCGACAAGCATCGTTTTGACATTAGGCGAGAGTTTTGCCTGATGATCAATGTCAAGAGGAGACTCATTCTTGATTCCAGAAATGACCATTCTCCGCATACTGGATGCTGAAAGCCGAGTTTTGCACGTAGTTATATGATACTTTCCTTTCCAGCGTGGCACGTTCACCCACATTCCCAATGCTGGGTGGGCAAAGGCTGGCAGAGTGCGCACCTACACTCTAGGTAACTTGTTGGGGGGGATGGACGTGGCAGCATGTTTGAGCAGGTTATTAGTGACCTTGCTTCTGCCTTAATCATTGTTGAACAATGCAAGTACAGCCAATTGGGCATCTTTTCGACTAGACCCCAGATTTGCAGTGGTCTGTGAAGCCCGCCTTGAACTGCACAAGACAGCCACCATTCGGATTCGTCGAGAAATCGGGCTATACCTTTGGCCTGATCGTTTTGTTGTATGTCAAAGACGTGGTGCGGACACCATTTGAGCCGCGCAGGAAGCGGAAACAGGTGGTCCATTGCTGCGCATGGTCATGAATCTGTGAGAATTTGCCAGTTTCGCATGAATTCATCCAATCTGCTTTTGAGGTTACTCGAATTCCGTGCTTTGTTTCGGTTATTGTTTGTTCGCCATTCGATGTCGGAAGAGTCCCAATCTTCGGGGTTGGGACACCGCACGACAGGTGGATCACCTTCCACCTCTTCTTTTCTTTGCGGCTTATTGGGACCCCCCACGAAACATGAAGGGGTGACCACAGAACTCCAGTTGGAGTGGTGTGTTGGAACATCCTTCGTCCCACAGCGCCCTTTTCGGAGCCGTTTCTGTCTTTTGTGTAGGTGAACCGAACCGTCCAAAACCCTGGAAGGCCCTACTCCCTGTTTGCCCGGATTCGGTCCCAACAAGCCTGGCGGGGGGGCCTGGTCCGGCCGGCCCTCTGGAGAGCCAGGTCTCTGGGCCCACGGTCCAGGAGTACGACGCGCCGAATGTGGTGATGCGGGACTACTTGTGCTGCGCGGTGGGGGAGACACTCTCGGCGGTTTTTGGGAGTTTCGGACAGCATGGTCAGCATGAAGAGACGGGGCCGGATCGCGTGAGGGTGGTGACGTTTGGTGTGACCTGTGACGAGTGACGAACAAGTGGATCACCTGCAAAAACCTCAGACGTTGCGTCGTTTCAGATGTGCGATTGGTGCGGGTGCATGTTGGTCTCGATTTGGGACTATCGGGGGGGATGTATATATTTTCTGTTTATTTTTTTTGTTGCTAGCGGGTCAATGAATGGGAAATCAAACCACATCGTGCAATGTCATAAGCGTTGAAGCACTAAGGGAAGCTGGGGTGGGCTAGCACAAAAAGATCACCTTGATACTGAACTCCATGCTACCTCGCATTCCAGGGCAGAAAAGGAAACTGTTCTTGTTTTGCCCATCAGTGCCACGGAACTTGGCGGGTTTGGGCACCGGATATGAAGAGATGACAGGAAACAGATCCAATACCAAAACACAAGGACAAAGGATTTCTTTTTTTTTAAATCATATGTTATCCCTATGCCAGGATACGTGGGGGGGGCTCTTGGGGTCCCGAGGGCCTCCTCCCACGCACATCTACAGCAGGCCGTCCTGGAGCAACGGCGGATGAGGGCAGACGATCTGGGCCTGCCGGCACCGCGGGTGTTAGTGCTTCGGCAGAGGGAGGGAAGGGAGGCAAGGGCGGCGGTGTGGCAGTGGCCAACAGCAGCCAGATAGAGTTGAAACTGTCCCCACAATTCCAACCAAACTACCGGTTTCCCCATCCCATGTACATGATGCACATCCGGTGAAGGCAGGGGACTGTCGTAGATAGCAGTTATGGGGCTCAACAAGATCAGTACCACGAAGACCATACGTTACAGTAGGTCCAACAAACGACATGCAGAACCCCGCCGATTCCAAGTTGATAGAACATGTCAATTTTGGACACAAGTCTTCCAGTAGATCAACTAAAGGAAGTGACCTATATCAGCTTGCTTTTGAACCACTCACCACTCCCCCCCGCTTCGTTCCTCTCAGGTCTGCGGCTCGGCCTTCTCAGGGAAGAGCGCTCTGTGCCAGGCGCCGAAGTCACGGTCGACAGGTGTTCGAACTCGACGTCGCTTCGACTTCTCCGCGTGGGTGAAGGATGATTACTATGATCATGTTTTGTGGTTAGACATCACATGTCATAGTAATAAGGTAAAATAATGTTACATCACATGATGATTACCTTGTTTTTACCTTATGTTTTTGTTTTACCTTATTTCTTTTTCTCGGAGGTGTTCGAACGAACGTGCATCTTTCGTTCAGACGGGGGGGGTGGTTCCGCGCCCTTCGTCACTTGACGCAGGACTGTCTTGGACGATTTCGGTGGGGTTGGACTCCCTGAAACGTGGAAAACGAGGACCTCTGCTACAGTCAGCTTTGGACCTTCACTATGGTGTGGTGCGTGTCACCCTGTAAAAACGAAACGAACAAAAGACAGAATCAAGCATCGCTCGCTTCCTCCATGGGGATCCACCAGAGGCACAGTCTCGGTCATCGGGTTGGTCAACATGGTCTTTTTTCTGTTGACCAAATGACCTTTCAGAGGTGAGAGATGTCCACCGGGCACAGACGAAGAGCGGCTTTTTAAGTGGACATCAAGGCTTCGGACATCAGCGCGTTCTTTCCCTTTCATGGTGCACATCATTAAGGGATGAGTTGTAAACCTGACATGAAGCTCCAAGTGAATGGTGTCCCTGTCGGAAATGATAACCTTGGGACATTTATATACCCGGATTTACCTTCAATATCCTTCAATGCTGCTTTGAACAGGTGTTCTAAGTCATGATTTGCATCTCAAGGCGCCTCAAGGCGCTGGGTTCCCTTTGGTTTGAAGGCGCCCTTGCGATGCGCCACAACATCCGTCCGAGGAGGGCACCGAACACCCTCAGGGCACGTGGGTTTGAATGATCGAGTAGTTGGACAGAATCCTTCCTTCCCCCCCTCCAAAATCCCTAGATTCACCGACATCCTTTCCTTTCCTTTCCTTCCTTTCCTTCCCTTTCACTGGACTTGGACGCCAGCCAGCGACCTCAACGGCGACCCAGGCCTTCCGGTCGTTTTGGCTCCCCAACCCCGGTCGTCGACCGACTCGGTGGCGGCTGCGCCGCGGTGGCTCTCTCGCGCGTGCAGATCTTATGCAACTATGCGCTCCGAAGAGCCCGGCGCCTGAGCGCCTCCCTGCGGCGGTTTTGGTGGGCGGTTTTGGTAGTTTTGGGTGGAAAGGTTTCTGTTTTTTTTGGTGACATCCAAAGAACTGATGGTAAGGAAGTTGCATGACATTTGAGAGTCGAGTCATGTGGGGTTGCTTCCAAGATAGGAACACCCAAGAACTGCAGATGCTTGATTTATTGCTGCAAGGCAAAATCCAGGCCCATCTCCCCTAGTCTGACTCGAACGTTCCCGGATCAAAGGGTGTCCATCGTTGCTTCACTCACCATGAAGTCAACACCAAGGCAAATGGGGCTCGCTCCGATCCTTCTTCGGTCGATGTCGCCAGGAACATACTCCTGTCTTCGTGGACTTAGACACGCGCTATTCCAACATCCGCCAGCTGCAGGCGAGATGTCCACGTCATACCCTCTTCTCGTGGACACCTTGGTGGACCAGGGTGGTCTTGACCCATCCCTATCGTCTCTAGGACTCTACTAGGTTGCTAGCTTGTTTGGAAATGATCGTGGCTCTTGTAGCTCTTCTTCTGCTGCTTCTTCTTCTTGCAATGACTGAAGGGACCTTTGCAAGACATTCTTGGAGAATCCTACAGACATGACTTGCAACCGCCGATTTCTCTTCACACGGCTCCTCCGGCTGGTGTGAAACACACACAGCTCCGGCACACCCCCACAACGGCTCCCCGGCTCACGCATGCTCACCACGCATCGAAGCAAGGAACCCCCGTGGCCAATCCCAACAAAGCATGCCCCAACTGCTTTCTATACTTGCCACACAGCAAGCGATGTCTGCAGCGGGGGTTCGATGTGTTGCTTCTTTTTTGCTATTTCCCAGAAGGGCGACCACTAAGACGACCACTGTATATATATATATATAAGTGGAGAGGTCTTGGGTGGTTCATGTGGAACCCCCAATCTGTCTAAGACATCTACTCTGAAACCTTTTCTGTACATTTCATGTACAGAGGAAGACCTGCAGGCCTTCACCCTTTTTCCGGAATGCCACGCTTCGCTGCCCAGAGCATGCCCGCCTGTGTGACGGCCATGACGGTGGAACATGCAGCGGACGAGGCGTCCGCGCGTTCCGCGTGTGGAGCTCGTCGTTGGAGCCGGTGAGGGGCAGTGAGGGTCGGTTGGGGGATCTCAACAAGGGGAAGTAACAAGTGTCTCAGGGGGATAGGTGTTTGAGGGATCTATCTATCTATCGATCGATCGATCCATCGATCCATCGATCCATCGATCCATCGATCCATCCATCCATCCATCCATCCATCGATCCATCCATCCATCGATCCATCCATCCATCCATCCATCCATCCATCGATCGATCCATCGATCCATCGATCCATCGATCCATCGATCGTCTATTGTGGTGTCACTGGTGGTTTTGGTCTGCCTTACTTAGTCTTGGGATCCCGTGATCAGGAGAAAAGAAGACTCGAGGGCCTCGAGGGTAGACTTTCAACGTTTACGGATCCCGTTTTTTTTTTAAAAGCGCCTCTAAAGCACGCCCCAGTGACAGGCGCCCCGCAAATCTTTCGTGATGAAGATTTCGTATGACGGCCGAGAGTTGTGCATCACCGG